AGAGGCCTGGCGAGAGGCTCGAGCGAGCGAACGAGTAGAGACACCGAGAACTAGCTAGAGTTTCGGAGGGCGAGCAAGCTAGGGACAGACTGGCGGGGGCTCCGGTGACACCCTCGGGCCCGCGCGAGGTGGAGCAGCACTCGGTTCCCTGGCCGCTCCTCGCCAGCTGCGCCAGGAGCTCCCCTCTGCTATCCGAGCCCACACGAGAATCGAACGCGTGGTCCAGGAACAAAAGCGAATCATCCTCCGACACAAACAACACTTTAAAAAACTACACACACAGACATAAACACACACAGGAGACCTACAACCATAAGTACGCATACTCGCGCGTGCGTGAGCGCGCGCGTACACACACACACACACACACACACACACACACACACACACACACACACACACCCCACTCGCACAAACTTCTCGAGCAAAGAGCAATATACAGAAACGCTCCCTCTTCCTCCACCGCCCACCCCCTCCACTGCCCTTCTCTTTCCTTTTCTCCAAAAACAAGCCACCACCCTGCAAAGGACTGTCAGAACATTTGAAAACAAACGGGACCTATAAAAACAGACCCTTTGTGTGGATTATATTATATATAAAATGCTCCAAGTCCTGCTTGATATCTACTTACAATGAGACTTTTTTTTCCTAAAAAAGGAAGCATCAAAAAAGGCTTAAGGTGAGAAATTAAACTGGAAGTCTAGTGACAGTTTCTCTGTATTTCATAACATCTGTATAAATAGGGTTCAAAAGATTGTGTTCTCTTTTATTTTCTTGTAAATGTTCATTCGAATAGTTTTTTTGGTGAATTCCTGAAATTCAGGGAGTTTTTTTTCCTTTAATTTTCTGATGCACTTTGTGAAAGTCAGTATATATGTAAAAGATATTTAAAATGTTGAGTTATCATTTCACTCACAAACACGTAAGTTAAGGTCATCTAAAGAAATTAAAAACGTTTATCTGTATGAAGAAAATCTTGACATCATATTTTCATTTTGGCATTATTAAAGGACTCTGCACAATACACTTCCTTTTAAAAAATCCTGTTCCTCCCTCAATAACCTTTACGTGGGTCGACTTTTTTCATTGGGAAAAAAATTCCCTTAATGTTAGTTTTAGTTAATGTAAGGTTCATGTAAATTATAAAAGCCATACTACATATACGTTTTTGAGGAGTCAAAATTATTTATTTGTATATCAGCAGCGTAAATTAAATTGGGCTATAAGAATGTGTAGTTGTATTACTTAATGGGAGAGCTCTCAAAAAGTGACATTTAAAAACTCTGGAGCACCTAAAAAAAAAAGCAAAGGTGTTTGGCAGCTTTAACTGGGGAGGTGACTTCTCCCGGAGGGGGTCAGAAAAAACTCCAGTGGGTTTGTTTGTTTTTTAAAAGCGATTTAAAAACAATCTGTGAAAGGGAAAAGCTTTTTAAAAGAAGTCTTTTAGTTCCCAAGACCCTCTATGTTGGGAGGCTACTCAGGGGAATAAATCGCTAGAGTCAATACCCCGGAAAAGACATTTCATGCCTAAATGAAAATCTTGTTAAATGTTATTAATTTTGACTTAGAGCACACAGCAGCCCCCTGTGCCTTGTATTCCCTTATTAGGGATTCATGTCTTATCAAATATCTAATTAATCTCCTAGACATCATTTGTTCTGGCCAACTTTATCTCAGCTGGTCCACGGGGAAAACTCCAAATATTCTCCGTGACAAAGCTCCCTTGAAGATCTTTTTAATTGTCTAAATTAACTGCACCAAATTTGCATGTCAAACGGTAAAGGGCAACCTGAGATAAAATGTAAACGTTTTAAAAGCCCCCAAACTAAGCACTTGATTTGATAACTAGGCTTTTTAATGTTATGGAAGACAACTGCTCCTTTCCTTTTCAAAGACGGCTGATCTATGCAAATAGTGAATTGGAAATGCCTAGGTCCCCGCGCTGTCAAATGGCCCTCGCAGGTTATTTGAATATCAGTGGCGCTGCTTCTGAAAAGGTTCAAGGATGCTCTCTGACTTCTTTGTGATTACTCAGTGCGGCGTCTTATTCTGAAGAAAAAAAACTCAGGAATAATTAAAGGCTGGGATCAGGCCTGGGAACACATTTGGGACAGGAATCTCATTTAGACAGTCTCTTTCAAAATAAGGCACAGTTAAATTGACCAGAAGGCAATTATTGAAATGAAAATTATTTTCACTCTCTTTGTCTTCTGACCACCAACTTAACAGCCCCAGTTTAAAAGAGAGAAGAGAGAAAGGAACGAAAAGAAAATTGGTAAATGAGATAATTTCGCAATTCGAAAAAATGTTAATTTAGAAAATAAAGTACGTATTTACAGAATAAAAATTTTCTAAAAGGCTCCCCACACAATAGGAAATACAAGCAAAGTCAGTCCCAAAGGGGGGAAAAATTATTGTCCGTTTGGGGGAGGTTTTAATTTTTAGGGAAGAAAAAATAAATTACTGTTATTAACAATCAACAAAATGTTTTCTCGGAAACTCTGCTCTGAAAAGCCAAGTAACGAAGTAGCGATAAAACAGAGCGAAGGTCCCTAGAGGGGCGTTTGCAGCGCGAGGTTCAGTGGCTTCTTCCCTTTCCTCCTCCTTGTGGTCCCTGCAGCCTCGGCTGCCCCGCTCTTCTTGCTCGAGTTTTTCTTTTCTTTGGCTATTTTCTCTCCCCTCTTAACCAGGACTCCCACCCCACCCCCCGCTTCTGGGTCAGGTCTGGTCTTCTGCAGAAGCTGGCAGGGGTGTATTTGTTCTGGGGCCTTTGGGTCGAGGAGCTTGGAGCCCGAGAGGGTGCCCGGCGCGTTTAGGGGTGCGGGCCGGCGGCGCGGGAGGTGAGGGTGTGGTGGGCTTTCCTGAGGAACGAGGGCGCCGGGGCGTCTGTCCCAGCCAGCTTTGTTTCTCGTGGATAATAAAGGCAGATCAAAGGGCCTGGCGGTGCAGGTCCCGCTGGCCGCGCCGCTCCCTCCGCAGCCCAGTGATCAAGGCCTCTGCGCGCTGCCTCTGCCCCGCGGGTCAGCGGACGTCCATCACCTCGGCTCCCGGGAACCGCGGGCGGCTGCCCGGGCCGGAGCGTCCAGCCGGGAGAACAGCGCTCGCGGAACCTGAACCTGGAGGGAGTGGGGCCCTGTCTCCCAGCTGAAGTCAACAGCAAAAACAGACCCCAGCCCTCCTACTAAGCCCCCAGCTCTAGGGGCCCCTGGAGACGCAGTACAACCTTGACCTGAGCGGGTGGCAATCGGTTGAGGCGGAGCAAACTAAGGAAAGCGTGCGTGGGAGGAGTGACCCTTGAAACAGAAGGGAACTGCGATCTTCACCTGGAGGGGGGGCGTCTCCTCAGGGTCACCCCCGGCCTCCAGAGGCCTTGGCCGCTCTGGCTCTGGGGCCCGGAAGGAGCGGGAGCCAGGGTTGGGGCGCAGACGAGGATCGCTGTCTGGAGGCCGGTGTGAGGTGAGGGGCGCAGACAGGGCCCCAGAGTCCTGCTCAGGCCTGAGTGAGGGGAAATGCGATTTCGTTTCAGCGGGTTTCTTCCAGTGTTTCCTGTTGTGTAGCTTCATGCGCAGTAGAGGAACGAACACCGTTTTCCTCGACCCTGCGCTTACCCAAGCTCCAATCCACACACCTTCCCTCGGGGTTTTTAAAAATGTTTTCTGTCCCTTAGAGTGAATTGGGTCTTACCTGACGGGGAAAAAGAAAAAAATAAATAAGAAGAAAAAGAAAAGAGATTTTCTTTCCTCAAGAGTGAAAACAACATTATTTTGACAAGATTAGATTGTGCACCTGAACAGCGTGTCTGGACATTCCGTCAAATCGTTATAAGTCGTGTAAAATTGAATTTCTTTTTATTCAGATGGAAACTTTATTTATTTTAACTCTAATCTTATTTGCATCTATTATCTGTATTCACCAAGGCTCTCTCCCACTACAAAAATGCAGATGAAGTAAATCTTACATAAATCCCGCCCATTTGTGTAATTGGTATACTAAGTGTTTATTTTAAGTGAGAATAATTTAGCTACAAATTTTCTTAAGGAATAACATTCTTAACACATTAAAAAAACTGAAAACTCTGATTTGCTTTTATGTTTGACAGTCGCTCTTGATTCCCTTAAGAGGAGCTTGGCGAGTGCGGCTCGCTGGCGCCATCTAGAGCTCCGGGCCGGGAAGGCAGCGCTGTCCGCCCCGCTCGCCGCTATTAACCGCGGGGAGACCAGTGTTTGCCGCCAGCTGCAACAACCCAGCGGATCGCAAAGAAACGCGAGTTTTTGTATTCCGGGGGGACGAGCCCAGCTAATAGCTGATATTACTGCTCCTAGGGAAGGAGGGCGTTTCTGGAACGTGCTAACTGAAAATCCAAACAAAACAAAATAACGCCCTGCTTGGCCCTAGTCTTGTCACAGTGAACAACCCTTTCAAGGCAACTTCTGGGTCTTCCAACTCAGTTGAGCACGCTGGGCGCTGTCAGCGGCGACGTGGACCCGGGGATGGGGACCCAGCCGTGGGCGGAGCCCCCTGCGTTCTTTGCCCGACGACACCGGATCCGAGGCCTCCGGGTCGGTGAGGCCCGCGTGTACTATCCGAGGCGGGCCGGAACTAAGGTGATTAAAGCAGGCAACCAGGCCGTCCGGTGTCCCCAGACCCCTTTGAAGGGGAGGGAACGAGGGACTCGCAGCTTTCGCCGGCCCAGGACTGGGATGAACGAAGCAGCCTCCTGCTTCGCCCGCGTCCTCCAGGCGGCGGGCCCACTCGAGTTGGGTGCTGGGGGCTGCTGGGCAGGCCGGGGCCGGGAGGGGCTAGCACGGCCCCCGAGAAGCCCCGAAACCCCTCGCCCCAGCCCCTCCCAAAGGCTCTGCACTCCCTGCCCGCCCAAATTGACCCCTTTTGCCCCCACCTTTTCCCTTTGAAACCCAAATCTAAAATCGCATAACAGTTGGGGGCGTTGACCAATTTCTCTCCTCTCTTTGCATTGCCCTTCCCCCGCCGCCCCTTTCCCTCCTCTTCCTAGTCCAGTACCCCACCTCCAGTCTTCAGACATTGTGCGGTGGCTTCTTCCCCTCCTTTCTTGTTCTCCCCCGCCCTCACCTCGCACGTTTATTGTATTTTAATCTGAAAAGCTACACCTCCAAGTCCCGCGCGGGAGGCGCCGTCGACAGCAGCAGCAAGAGCCAGCTGAGGCGCCGGGGCGCGGGGCTCCCGGATCTAGCGCCAGGGAAACGGGGGTGTCTTTCCGGGAACTCTCAGTCACCTTTGCAGCGGATAACTCGGCTGGGTTTGTATTTGCTGTTTTAATACAAACCCTGCCGCACTGCCTATTTCAAAGATGTGCTAATTACTACTTGGATAGTAGGGCGCAAAGTCCTTGTCCATTTCCCAGTACAAAGTAGGTTGTAGAAAATTTGAAATTGCCTTTCAGCCTAAAGCTGCCTTACCTGAATGTCATAATTACAGTAATTATGTACATCCAAATTACATGCTAATTAAATTAGAATCAAATCGTTCTAAATCGAAATCAAATGAGGTAGTGAAGAATTAATCAATGACAACATAAATAGAGAGCTTCCTTCAGAGATATTTATTGTAACGATCCAAGGAGGAATTTGATCTGAAAAAGTCACCTGTTTATTTACTTTCAAATTAGTAATCAGTTATTATCCCTTCTCCATAATTTTAACCGTTCAGTGTTATTTACCCCCCACCCTTTCCAGTCGCAAGAGTTTATAGAAATATGTATGAGGTAAATACATACAGACATGCCTACCCTATATGTTATTGATATAAATATACACAGTGTGTTTGCAACTCCAGTTAACGGGAAGGTTTCAGAGTGTCAGTGGGGATACATTCCTCTAGGGCCTGCTCGCTGGGATCCGGGAAAGAAAAGCACCTGTTTTTAGATGTTCCAAGACCCTTACACTCTCTTGCTTTGGATATTCATACCAGGGATTTTGCATTGTTTTACAAACGTCTATTTCCGGGCGATTCATATATAAAAGAAATACAGAGTGATAGGGTGTCTCCCCATGTCCGTTTTCTGCTTGCAGATTGTTGGCGAGAGTTGACATTTTCCTTTTTGTCCCAGGAGCACCCGCGTCCTAAATAAAGCGCCTTCTTCACCTGTGGAGCCCCAGCGACGAGAGAAATTCGCTCGCTTTCTTGACTACTGAAGGCGAGTCCACCTTACGACCTGCGCCGGCGAAACGCGCGGGAGGCCGGGCGAGCTTAGGCAGGAGCGCGATGACCCAGGTGCGCGGGTCTACAGAGCGCAGCTCCTGTGGCCCGCAACCTGGCGGAGTGGCCCAGGAATTTCTTCTGGGTGGATAACCGGCGTGGTTGGGGCGGAGGACAGGTGCTGCTAACTAATCCGATCCTTTCCCGTTGCACTTTGCGGGTGGGGGATTCCAGCGGCTTCCTCGCGCGGGAAGCACATTTTATAGGACCGGGATGCGCCCCCCCCCCCAAGCCTCAGCCTTTCCATTTTGGTTTGAGGTGTGTTCAGAAGGTTCCCTGTCGCGGGTCTAGAAGGAAAGCGCTGTAGCACGCAGAGGTAGCGTCGCCTCTGGGTAAGGGAAGGTGCAACCCCAGCTTGGACTCACTCCATCACCTAACCACCTCCTTTCGGGCTTCCTTTGGGTTTAGGGCAAGGTCCTAGGAAGCCCCGCTTTGGTCAGCCTCCGAGTCCCCAGACCTCCACTTCTGCCCAATCCCTCGGGAAGGCCTTCGAAGTCAAAGGGACAGGAGTTTTCCGTGTCTAGGAGGAGGGCAAAGATGGCTCACGAGCAGTTTGGACCAGAATGTGCGTCTTTCCATAAGCCGCTCCTGCGTTTCACCCCGCACCTCGCTTCATTATTACTGTTACATTTTGAGGGTGGGATTAAGTGTGGCGTGAAGGGAGGAGAAAGGGGGAAGGTGATGGGTACCTGCTTCCTTTTCTGTCAGCAGGAACCGGGTTTAGGAGCCTCATCAGGAGAGCTCAGCTGCTATCGCATTTCCCAAACCTTAAGAGTTCCCTCGGTCTTACTTGTTCCTCATAACTTTTGAAAAGCATTTCCCCCCTTTGATCCAAAAAAACAAAACACACACAAAAAACCGCTCTCAATCCTGCAGCTATTGCATGTCTTTATCTCTTTTCAAAAAGTGGAAACTACCAAGGTTTTCTCAGACCTAAATAAGATTTCCTAATATCCTTCAGTTACTGAAGCTAAAAGGCAGCTTTCTCTCTGATCTGAGGCACAGGGTGTGGAGGCCTTGCTGAGCGGCTTCCGCCAGCATCTTGGCTCAGTGGTCGTTAAGTAAGGAGGAGAGTGAAATGGCTCAGGTGGATTTTGGAGATCTTTCAGCTCCCATGCTAAAGTATATGAAATGTTTGGTGATTAAAACTGGGAAACGCGGTGCTCCCAGCAGAGGGGACTTGATCTGACTCATTATCAGCAAGCGGTGTCATGGGTGAACAGCAAGATAAGTCTCTCTTCCAGCCTTTCATATAAAAAGCTTTCTTCAGATTAAAACCTTATTATTCAAAACGAGACCTTCATTTCACTTGCAGGTAAGCAGACCTGCCGCTATGCAGCGACCTCTGCCTATTTTGGCATATTTAGTAAATAAAATTATGACTAACTTACCACATAACATTCAGATAAACAAGTCCTAACCTAGTAACCTGATCCTTCCTGGCCATTTGTAAATCGACAGCACCTCCTATAGGAATTAATTTGCTACTGTTAAATTATGTTAAATGTTAGGGGAAAAGCGATTGCCCCAAAATGTGTCCTAAGTCTGCCAGTGCAGTTCCAGTCCCCTGGACAAATAAATGTCACTAGGCACACACAGGTTTCTTTTAAATAATTTCTCTATTAAGGGTGAGAAGAATGACAAATATCACATTTTTCCTGTGGTTTTTGAAAAAAAAAAGTCACTGTTGAGGACTTTTGTTCTTGAATCATAGATTCATTAAGCTTGGAAAATTCCTTTTGGGTTTTCAGTACTTAGGGGAATCTCTACACATACAACTAGGAATCCTTTTTATTAGGAGGCTTCTTTCTTCGGTTTCTACTTTATATTTGAAAAGCAAAAGCAGAATTAGATGCTTAACACTTTTATCACTTTAAATTCCTACTCATATCATTAGAGTATGCGGAACAAGTA